CCAATGACATTGGTTTATTAAGTAATGTTTTAGGTAGAACAAGAACAAGGTTTACTAGAAAAACAAAAGGTATGTGAGGCGTAGTGTAGGATGTGGTATCATGTTATTTAGAGAGAGAGAGAGAGAAGAGTATCGTACATTTAAAGCATAATAAAAAGTGGCTAAGTAATGGTACAAGAAAAAATGGATGATTGAGTTCGGTTTATATGGATCGGGTCAAAAATCAATACTCATGTTTTGTAATGACCCAATGTTTTTGGGTCTAATTTCATCATTTGAATCTCCTAGTTTCATCGTTTTGGGTCTATCAATTATGTGTCATGACCTAAGTTGTTTTTCGGCCTAATTCCATCATTTGGTCCTCCTAATAAGCGACTCTAACGTTTTAGGAACGGTTTAAAATATGTGTAATTTATGACATAAAACTCGAAAATCAATTTGTTTGCTTTTCTAAACACTTGGCGATATCTATTTTTATTGTAATAGATTAGGTCACAATTTCCTGTTTTTAGTCATCTCAGTAAAATAAGAAGACTTTGACTTCAATATTTCGAACGTTTAGAATTTTAACAAGTCGTTTCTTGCCTCAATATTCATTCAATAATATTTCTTTTTGTCCCGATTATCACTCCGCCGGGGGAGAACTTGATTAAGGGCCTACCATGTTGGGAGCACATGCAAGCCCCAGACATCGCAGTCCCTCCTAATTCATATATCATAATCTTAATCTTGGAGACATTTGTTTCCAAGCTAAAGAAAAACGTCATAATCCATGGACTCAGACGTTATGAATTCGACTCTCGTTAGTGTTTTCTGAACTTAATAGATATCTATAATTTGTGAATAATTGCAAGCATTTAAAATTTATTCTCGTAAAAATGAATATAATGTATCCATATCTTAGAGAGGTTGCTCGTTAACAAAAAGAAAACCCCGTATATTAATGGTTTTTCCAAAGAGAAAATGAGAATTGACCAGTGGAAAAGCAGTACAAAAGAGAAGAAAAAAGATGCCTCGGATGGAACTTTCTTCCTTTGATTTTTGAAAAGAAAAATGGAACATTTGAAAACATCATTTCCTAGCATCAATTACACTTCTATTACCAAATCTTCAAATTTGTCTCTTCTGTGTGAGAATAATAAGAAGGTAGAGTTAAATAATTTACTTGACCCTTCAAAAATTTACTTACTATTACCAATATTTATCGTTTTCTCTACGAACCGTCAGTCGAGTTGTGCTATATCATCATCATATCGTGTCATCTAAAGTCACATTTTTTTGGTTTGAGACTAGATTGAGTAAATATTCATGTTAATGAATTTTTATTCCTCTAAAATAAGTCATACAGTACAAAAAAGTATGATAGTATCCATCTCTATTGTTGGTGTCTGTAATTAACCCTTTCCATTTACTATCCGTATGATTGGTTCTGTCATTTTTTTTTTGTTCATGCCATATCCTATTCATATTAAGAGGTAAAATTGACATCTCTCTCTCTCTCTCTCTCTCTCTTCAACAATCTAAGTTGAAAGCCTCAACATTCCCCCTAAACAGAGATGAGAGCAGCAATGCATATGCAAGATAAACTTGATCATTGCCAATTTGAGCCTCAACATGCAAAGAAAGGTCCATATCAACTATCTAACTTGTATATAAGCTTTTGATGTTTTTATGCCTCTGACCAGCATTGGCAATTTGAGCCACAAAAGGCAAATATTTCTTCAATCTGATTAATAAAAAATGTATGGTTCCAGTTTTTTCTTTTTAAAAAAAAAAAATAAAATAGTGCAACATAGAAGGTTTTCGTCACTGTAGAGTCTAGGAGAAGTCAAATATAAGCAAACTAGAAGCTTTTTTCGTGAATTGAACTCGTCCTAATCAAAATGAAATAACTTTGCTGCTACAACAAGGTTTGCTCTCTTAATGCAGGAGACTCTTATTATTGCGATTTTTTTTTTTTTGGTTTAATGGTCAGGAGTATTTAGACCAGTTTATATATACCTCGATTAATCTCCTCTTTGGTCCGTTTAAAAACAGATCATTCACACCGGGATTAGGGTATTCAGGAGAACGTCTAAATTTATAACTCGTTTCTATTATCATTTGAATTATCATTGGAGTAATCATTGTGAATTCTAAGAAGGACATATGGTTCCATCAATTTTTTTGCTTTCAATTTGCATAAGGAGGACCATATCCAGTGATCCTAAAAGCTACAAAGACCCTCTCTGGGAGAGAGTTGATCAAACTTGAAACACATCCACAAAAAGCATGTGGAATTTGTCCATATGTTGATGGTTAGGAACCCATGAAAGTGCCCTGCACAATGCGTTGTCTGTTAGTTCCACATGAAAGAGGCTGAAACCTCCAACATGGGATGGACCCTAAGCAACAGGGCCGTGAATGGTTACTTTCCATGGACATGACTATTCATAGCAGCCACAAACAGCCCCAACCCACTGTTCAAAAAACCACCACTTGAGTCATATTAAACTTGACACTTTTCATTCTGAAAACAATGTACATTCTTTGTATAAATTATAAGTTTCACTCATCTCGTGATTGACTTGGAGGTATATAGATTGGCTTGGTCGAGCCGACTGTATCATCGCCATCCAAAATTTCTGGTTCACTTTTATGGGTATCACTCGATATCATTCTGCAGTGTCACAAACCATGATGTGTAATTAAACCAAACCCCCCCACCTGAGCTTTCCATCATGAAGCAGCAGCTCAAATCACATGATTGGACGCCTGCCATGTGCATTTTGGTACCATGGCCCCCGTGAGGTAACAAGTATAGTTGGTTATGTTTGGGCCCCAATACTCCACTTTAATGCTATGATGAGAAAATTAAATGAGATAAGGATATGCATGCAACAGGAGAAACAAAATGTTTTTGCTTGTTCAACCACTCGAAAGGGGTCCTCCACACAGAAATGCCATTACAAGAGAGAGAGAGAGAGAGAGAGATGATGAAGGAGACATTTTTAATTATTTTGAGGAATTATTTAGGGTTTTGAGCAAGAGAAACACCACCTTTGTGGGTAGAGATAAATCCAAGATCTCCGAAAATCAAAGATTTGTAAAGGGAAGGGAGGGGAGGGGAGGGGAGGGGAGGGGAGGGGAGGGGGAAGAGGAGGAGTAAATATTGTGTATAACAGTTAGTTCACGTCAATATTACTATGTGATATAATAGTCCGATAAAAAGACCAAAAAATAGATAAAGTGGATCCTATTGTCCAACATGAAAGTTGTTATATATTACATGAATAAGTGGTTACTTAATTTTGTGGAACTCACTTATTTATTTGTTCATTTATCGGTGGATGTTTATATTATGTCAACCACATAGCATTATTGACGTGGCGTAATTGTTTCGTCTAATAAGAAAAGAGGAGTCGCTGCCCAAACAGTGTTTGAATACTTAACCGATAACCCATGGGGGTTATAGTCCATCTAGGCAATCACTATTCTCCGTCCATGTCTAGGGGATGGACAAGACAACGGTACTACAAAAAAAAAATTTGATACGATACCTCCAATTTTTATAATTTTTGTGGGTTTTAATACAAGTTTTGAGGTTCCAATTTTTTGGTCAAAATAAAACTATTGTAATAACTTGTGATCAATCCTAACATTTTTAAGATTGATTGAAAGTTACCACAAAAATTATAAAATAACTCTCAAAAGTTATAAAAAAAAACTCACAAAATTAAAATTTGTAATGATAATTTGGATTAAAATTATGCGTTTGTGTTGAGAATTAATATTTTTTTATTTGTATGATGCATATGATATTTGTGATTAAAAGTGTATTGTACAAATTAATTTAAATACATAAAAAAATATTTATTGCAATATTTTGTAAAAATACGTAATTTATTGATTCATATTTTTTTTCTCAAATAAGACAATACTAATGAATTGGACTTTTTTCATTCCATTCCAAACGTAGTATACGATTGGATAATATTTTTTTACGCAAGGGTGCAGTGATCATTTTAGTATGTTTTATCTTCACATGTGAATGTGACCCACAAACCAAATGATTTTTATCTAAAAATGAGATAAGATTTGATACATTACTTTATAATCCTCCAATTCAGATCACTTTGCATTTTGCATTGAATTGTATTAAATTCGAATTCCAATCCAATTCAATCCAATGTTATGCTCCCATAGGTAATCCAAACACCGCCTTAGAGGATATTTGTTTTTGCTCAATACTCATTAGTCTTGGCGAGGATACTATGTTGTCCTGCGAAGTTGCCTGCCCATGGTTTTGTGTGTTTGACATGCCCTTTTAACATGCCCAGGCTATGAATGTGGTTTAAAAATGGCGTCTAAAGACAAACAAATCCATTTTGTTTTTACCTGAGAAATTCTTGCATTTAGTGATTTGAATAAACTTATCCATTCATGCCCAGAGATTATTTCCAGAACCCAAATTTGTAACACTCAAGTTACAAACTTTACCACTGTGCCGAAACCTGTCCTCCCTAACTGTACTTGGAAACTAAGGATAAATAGGTTGGGAGAAACATTTGGATCAGTACCTGTTAAGAGTATTTCAATATAAAAAGCTTTCGTGCCACTTTAAACAGTAAGCAAAGTAAGACCCTTCACACCGCTGAGAGAGAGAGAGAGAGAGAGAGAGAGAGATTATAGAAATGACCAAGATACAACAACAATTTTACACTTCTCAGTCAGTGAAGGTAAAAAGGAAAAATAATTGGAATATCAGTTCAACTACTGAAAAAAAAAATCGTGAGAAATGATTTCAGAATCGAATACAATAGGAAAAAAAAAAAAAAGACGACCACAACAACAACAATGAACATTGCAAGAACTGTTAAAACTACTGAAAACCTAAGACCCGCTGCGAAATCAATAAATAAATTTTTAAGAAATGGTATTTTTGATGCTAAGAAAGATGTCAGTCTATAAACAATTCAGCAAATATAGTAGGGCCAAGGCGCAAACCAGCAAAATTCGAATCAGAATGTGCTGCTGCTTTCACTGGCAGAAATAGAAGGGCCTTCAGACTTCACGAGATGAGAGCCTCTGTTGCTGATATCAAGCCCTTGAAAACGACCAAGGGGATCGGGCTGCAATGTATCTGAAAAAGCCTGTGTGTGGGCAGCTCCAAGCATGTGATGATGGTGACTTGACATCCTAGACTGGAGGGGATGAAACTGTGGCATCTGCACGTTCTGACGATCACTCGATCCCGGTTGTGGCTGATGTGAAAAGACTGCGGATTGGTTATATGGAAAATGATGCATTCCCAAATTGTAGGTATCTGAAGAGGATGCTATTTCTCCAGTGGCAATTCTGAGCCTTTCTACTTCCTGCTTCAGTGCTTCATTTAGGGCTGTGTTTGCAACAATATCATACAGATTAACATCTAACTAGCGATTTCCCATTGTGCAGGTTGAAATGGTAAAAAATAAAAAAATAAAGATACAAGACGACTACAATACTGATGTACCAAGTGCTCCATCATATTTAGCTCATCCTAAGTTCTGGCAGTGGCACACCAGTGAACAAACAATTTGATGAGTAAATAAGTTACCATTAGAGTATGACAGTATCTGAAGGATCCATACTTGCCAATTTAAAATAAAAAATATGATTAATTTTTAGAAAAATGCATTCAATTCAAAAAAAAAAAAAAGTACATTCAACACCATATAGAAAAAGGTTCCAGAATAAGTTTTTTGCTTGAAACCTACCGTCGCGTAACTGAGCTTGTTGTTCCATAGCTTGTAACCGAAGTTTAAGCTCTGTATTTTCAGTACTCTGACCCGTTATATCTCTCTGTGGAAGGAAACAACAGTATATATGGAATATAGAAGGAATACCTGATAAACAGTATAAAAAAGAAAGCTAAAAGCAAATCAATCGCATCACACCCCAAAGCTCTAGAAAATAATATGTGAAGCTTGTATAAATGCAAGAACAAATATAAAGTGGCCAATATGAGATAGTAAAAGTTTTAACTTGACCTCATGTTCAATCAGCATGAAACATTTATAATGTTGGGCTGATGAAATTAAGAGTCAAATTTCCGTAAAAGAGTATTGGGGCACTAGCTGTAATGCAGTTCTTTTTTCTTCCTTTCATTTACCAATCCTTATTTTAACTTCTTAAGTGTAGCAATTACCCTATAAGAAAGTGCACTAAGAAAAGCAATCCTTTTTCTTTGTATTGTTGGAATGCTAAATACCACCAATACAACCATGCCAGAGCCTCAGACATTTCTTAGGAAGATGTCAACCACACCAATACACTGATCAGTGCATATAAACTTGCCATAATGGCCATTTTAATTGTTGGCAATTGCAGCCTGTAGTTTGCATGTACAAGAATCTATGGAACTTTTGATTTCAGCACTCAATGCAAATCAAATTAAGTGTGAATGAGAAGAGTGCTCCCCAAAAAGTAAAACCTGCTCGTGTGGTTTTTTATTCTTAGTCACTGGAAAGAAAAACAAGAACAATAATACCCCCATCCCACCCCCAGCCCCCACCCAAAAAAAGGAAAGAAAAGAAACAAGAACACTTGGATGGAAATTGTAGGCAGGAAAAGGAATAATAAAGTGCAGAACTAGAACCATTAGGTTTCACATTATGCTATGAAGCCAAGCACATTTCTGGGAAACATTGAAACACGTAAGCATATTTTCGTTAAGGAAGTGCTCCAAGAATTACCTGGAATAGCGTGAGTTGTGCGGAAAGAGTGGTTGCCTCTGTTTGAAGGGTCTGAACTTTTCTCTCAAGTTCTGACATATAACGCGCCTTCCTCTCTTTTGAACGAGCAGCAGACTGTCGATTTGCCAAAATCCTGAATATCATTGCATTTAATATCTCAGGTGATCCAAAACACAAGTGATTAAATATTCAAGATACTTAAATTCATTACCATCCCAAGGAAATGGACATGAAAATTTCTTCTCACCAGATCCAATCATGTGGAGAACAAAATTCTTAATGCAGAAATTTTTTTCATGCAATATTGAAATGTAAGGTTTTTCAAACATTCTGAGAAAGAGAAGTTTTTGGGGCCAAAAAATTGGAGTTTTACAAGCAATGGAAGGTTTGAACAGTCGACCTTAGAAAACTCGGCATAGAGATGGAGTAGTATAGGATACAGTCATGAGCCAAATTTGTTGAAGAAATCAATAATTACGAGGTTGGCAACTCTCTGATTGGATCATTTAGTAAAAGAAACTAGTCACATCAATTTGTTTAGCCAGGCACAGATGCAAAATACAATCCTTATTAGGCTTACGAATTCAACATGGTAAAACCGTAAAAGTAATCGAACTGTTGACTGTTTTATATTTTTAAAAACCTTATGCCATTTTCCTAGTCAGCAAACCAGAAGAAGAGCCATGCAGTGTGTTCATGTGATTGGAAACAGTACTAGCCATGTTAAAAACCGTAAGAGACGAGGTTACAAAATTTAGGATTTCTTTTGGAATCTTTGGATTGCTAGATCTAGAAGGAGAGGGTTGGCTTTCATTTGCACAAAGAGGAGGATAGGAATTGGCCTGGGAGAGTTCCAGCATAGGATAGACCACACGACACACGTACGACTTTGGAGCGACACATATCCCATACAGAATCATGCAACCACGATTCTCATGTACTACACTCTTCACCTCAAATTCTAAGATCGAGAAGTATTTGGTTCTATAATCTCTCTGTGGATAAAGCCATGATGTACAATCCAAGCTCTAATCTTAAAACAATTGCATCCAAAATATACTTGAAATCCCTCAACCGAGACAAAACCTTAGTATCTGCCTCATATACACTTGGGCTGAAAAAATCACAAACAATTCTTGTGTTTTAAAACAAAATTCCAAAAAAGCAACCGATGCATTTATTCTCAAATTACATAACAAGGTGTTTCATAATTTACAAAAAAAAAAAAGAAGAATAATAATAATTTTACAAACTCCCTTCTGAAATTATCAAGAAAACATTTGACGCTTTAGCCTAGAAAGTCTTGATAAGATGACTGGCAGCTAGAGTCAAAAAGTTGTCTTGATTTAGCTCTAAATTCACTACGATCGGTTTCAGGATCTCCTCTGAAACCATAAATTTCTAATTTCACTATTTTATCCAGTTCTAAATTGTCAAATCCACTCACATTCCCAACAATATCGATCAATCAACGAGTCAAAAAAAATTCCATTTTCAAGAAACTACGAAATTTCATCCTCAGCAATTACTTCAAATCAGCAAGATATATAGTAAATATGAATTCTGATTACATTAGCAGTATTTGTACCTCTTGGCTCGCTTTGGATCTATAGACCACAACTCAGCCAGCTTCTCAGGAGCCATAGCCTTCTTAGCCTCAATACTCTCACCGAACAGATTCGAACTATCAACAGAATTACTGTGGCGATGCCGAGGCCTCATCACATTTCTCTCGCCCTCACCACCCTCCGCCCCTACTCCGCCACAATTACCGCCACCTCCACCGGCAGCATTGTCCGAAACGCCGTCGTTCAGGCTGGATCCAAGCTTCTCGATGTCCATGAAAGTGGAGAAGAGATCGTCCTCAGATCCCATCTCTTCGAAACTCTCCGAAGGCGCATCGAAGGGGTCCGACACCAGATCTAGGTCCTCCGGTAGCCTGAAGTTCACCTCCGAGTGAGCTCGCCGGTGGTGAGTCGGCCTGAGCGACGCCGTTGGATTTGTTTGCTGTGAGCTCGGATTCGATGGATCTTCCATTTCAGTCTTCAGTGTGTGAGTTGATTGAGTGAGATTTGTCTATGGTTGTCTTTGTTTGTCTTCCATATCGCTGAGAGGAGAGAGAGTGAACGGTGGTTTGACTCGTGATATCATAGTCATAGAGAGAGAATTAAGAATATTTATTTTGTACCCCTCAACGATTGGATTTTGTACATTTACCTATTTTCGTTAATCATAATTCCCATCGAATTTTAACAGATTTGTGTTAAAAAATACTCAATCCTCGCTCGATTCATTTTTTTAATTCGTGTCCAAAGAATTGCATCATATCAGATTTATATCATGTATAAATTACATATAACCAATATATAAACGAATCGTGTCGTATATTTTTTT